CCATGGCAGGCCTGGGTTAGCCAGTCACTTCCTTCCCCACACTCCTAGACTGTTCCATGTGACACTGTGACACCCCCCCCCACACACATCCCGCTTTGTAGTTGAGGACACTGAGGCTCAGACGCCGCCCCCCGGCAGGACTTCAATCTACTGCTTTGTTCAGCACTGGGTCTCCATCACCTGCAACCCTGCCTGGCAGAAAGGGAGAAGCTACTGCCCTCATGGGTCCATTCTACCTCATGGGGACCCCGTGGGAGCAAGGATGGCACTCAGAGGGATTTGGGGGGCTTTTTTGGAGGAGACCACCAGGCCTCTCTTCTGAGGAGCTTCTGAGTGGACTGGAATCTCCAACCTCTCGGTTACCCTCAGCCAAGAGCATTGACCCAGAGACTCCTGGGCAGACAGCACAAAACCCAATCCAACCCATTACCCACTGAGTCGATTCTGACTCACGGAGACTTTGGACAGGGTTTCTGAGACCCGATACCTTTATGGGAACAGACAGCCTCATCTTTCTCCTAAGGAGAGGTTGGTGGGTTTCAAACTGCCAACCTTACAGCAAGCAGTCCAAAGTGGCACCAGGCAGGCTGCCCAGAAAAAAGGAAAAAAAAAAAAAAAACGGAAAAAAAGAAAAACATTCGCTGGTTGTGGAATCAACAAACACTCATGATTGCCAACACTGAGGTCAAACCTTGCGCAACTTCTGTGGGTGATGTCTCGGTGCTGGGGGCTGTGAACGAGCCTTCTGGCCAGGACTCAGCACTGGACAAGAAGCCCCGTGAGAGCTGGGACCGCCACTTCCCTCCCTCTCCAGTCCAGCCCTGGCTCTGGCCCTAAGGAAGCGCTCAACTAAACCCTCTGAGCATGGGGTGGAAGACTGGCTAGAAAGAGAGATGGGAGGGCAAGGTGGAAGGGTGGATGGTTACACGGCCAGCCGCTATGCCTGACCCGTCCCGGGCAACCTGGCGCCCGTACCTTGAGGTCCAGATGCAGGACTCTCATCTTGTGCATGAAGAGGATCCCATCGCAGATCTGCCTGACGAACACCATGGTGTCCACCTCGGTCAGCGGGTAATCCTCGTCCACGATCCTCTCGAAGAGCTCGCCACCCTCGATGCTGTGTGCACAGAGCCCTCTACCGGCTGGCCTCCAGGCCTAGGGACCCCGCCCCCGGGCCGCCCGCCCCCTCACTCACTACTCCATGAAGAGGATGATCTCATTGGCTGTCTCCATGGCGGCGTAGAGCTGGATCAGATTGCGATGGTTCAACTGGTTCATAACCTCGATCTCAACCATCACCATCTCCTGAGGACCAGAAGGCAGGGCTGCTGTCCATGCTGTGCGGCCCCTGCCCTTCACCCTGCATGCCCGAGGCCTTGACCCGGTCTGGAGACCCTGCCTGCACCACTGCCAGTCCCCTCCCCACCCGTGTCTGCTGCCTTCACCGTCCCCTAGATCAGTGGTTCTCGACCTTCCTAATGCTGCGACCCTTTCATACGGTTCCTCCTGTGGTGGTCATCCCCCAACCATAAAATGATTTTCATTGCTACCTCATCACTGTCATTTTGCCGTTGTTATGAATCATCTTGTAAATATCTGAAATGCAGGATATATTTCCATTGTTACAAATTGAACATCATTAAAGCACAGTGATGAATCACAAAAACAATGTGTAATCATATATTGTGAAGTACTTATTTCTAATGACAAATAAATGAAATTTTGTCTTGAAGCATGGTGTAGCATGAGTAACAGTCTTCCCGACAGGTACTCTTATGGGGGCGTGTCTGCATGTGGGCAGACCCCCTGGAGACAGATAGAGGAGTGGTGTCTCGGTTCCTAAGACCATCAGAAATATGTGTTTTCTGATAGTCTTGGGGGACCCCTGTGAAGACCCCCAAAGGGGTCGAGACCCACAGATTGAGAACCACTGCCCCTAGCCCTGGTCCCTCTCCAACCTCAGCCTCTCTTCGTCCTGGGGCCTCTGGGGCAGGGTGGACATGCTACAGTCTGCAAGGAGATCGCTGTCCATGGCTGGTCCTCTCCTGGCTGTCAGCTCCCCCTGCGTGCGGGGCATCCCTGCTGGGGCGCCTTGCCTTTGCTGGCCCTCCTCCTCCCTTTCCTCCTCCAGGGCTCCATCCTCCCACTTCCCCTCTGCCCCCTCTGCCCTGGCTCCCTGAGAGTTCTCCTTCTGGACACCCCCAAGGCCTGCGAGCTTGAATTCCACTCAAATGGGAAGGGTTCCCAGTTCTCCCTTAAGCCCCAGAGTCCAATATATCCAACTGCCTCTGGTGCGGTGGGTGACAGGGTGGGCTGCTAACCCAGCTTAAAACCACCAGCTGCTCCGCAGGGTGGGGGTGGGGGGAAGGTGAGTCTAGTCTTCCATAAAGAGTGACAGTCTCGGAAACACGCTGGGGTGGTTCGACCCTGTCCTGTAGGGTCACAATCCACAGCTGGTGGTAAGTTTGAATCTTGAATGCCCAATGGGCGCCTTGGATCTGCTGTGTCCAACAGTAAGCCCTTGGGACCACCCAACCTCACCCAGGGCTTTCTCCTCTGGGGGGAACGACCTGCTCGTCACCTGGAAACCACTAGGCAGGGCAAAGAGTGGCAGCGCTCCACTGTTACACAAGAGTTGGAGAGGTTCTTGTCTACCCACAGGTGCCTTGAAAGAAAGGTCCGGCTATGTCCCCTATACCCCCCCACCCAAATCAGCCACAGGACACCCCGTGGAGCACAGCTCTACTCTGACCCATGAGGGGTCCCTCAATGGCAGCTGCACAACTGGGGAGTCTCTTCACCCAGGAGCTCAGATCCAAAAGTTAAGTGCTCCTTGGCTCACGTCCTAAGACTCCCCTCCTGGGAGCTCCTGGAGGCGACCTTCACAGTGCCTCACAAACCAGCATCCCTGCCCGCCTCCTCCACTGCCCTCCTCTGCAAACCCAGGCGACTGGTCACCTTGAGAGAGCTTTCCAGCCAGCTGAAATGTGGACTGGCAGCGCAAAATCGCCTGCGCGGGAATACTGACACCGTGGAAATTTCCCCAGGGCTCCCCATGCCGCCTTTCCCTTCCTCTACCCCAGACCAGAGCTGGCTGTGAAGCAGCAGCCAGCGCTGCACCCCCTGAATCGCTGCTCTTCCTGCAAGCCTCACCCCACGGACCCCTGTCACCCACCGGGGCCTGTCTCCCACCGGCCCCACGTTTCGCTCCCTACAGCTTTCCTGGCTTCCCCATGCTTCTTCCTGGGAAAGAACACCGTGCTTACTTGCTTGCTAAAGCAGAGGGGCCTCGTGGAAGAGGAAGACCCTCGCGCCACAAGGCGCATTGGCCCCCTGGGTTCAAACAGAGGGTGGTGCAGGATGGGCGGCATCTCGTTCTGTTGTGCCCTGGGCCACTGTGAGTCCACACGGCGTCACTCACACACACACACACACACACACACACACACACACACACACACAACTCCCTCACCCCACCTTCATCCCTTCCTTACACAGACACTCCTCACAGCCTTCACTGAGCGCCCTGGCCCCCACCGCCCGCCCACCCCAAGCTGAGAGCTGAGGGCCGCGCTGTGGGTGGGCTGTGTACCATGACGTCAGCCCCCTGAGGTCATGCGCATACTCTCCCTTCTGCCCTCTTCACCTCCTGGGACCCCTGGCAGGGCTCAGTCCAGAGCGGGCACTTAGGGAGCTTGCAGAATTGAATCCCAGGGACATCCCTTGACATTCACTGATGGACGTATCTAGCCTATGGTTACAGGGGGGGTGGGGGCAGAGGAGGCAAGGCAGTCTGTCCCCGTGGCATCTGTGGTGCATGGAGGCCCCCACCTCCAGAACCCCCTCCCCATCCCATGCAGCCAGCACACCCTCTGCGCTACCTTGTCTTTGGGGCTCTGTTTCTTCATGACCTTGGCTGCCAGCTTGAGACCGGTGGACTTCTCTGTGCAGGTGCACACCGCTCCAAACTTGCCCCTGGAGGGGGGAACACAGGAGTGAGGGCCCCGGAGGGGAGGGGAGGGGAGAGGTGGGGAGGGGAGCGTTGTGTTCCACTCATCCTGGGCGCCTCCTGCTTCCAAGACACAGGCCAAGCCCACACTTGCCTTGTGCCTGGGAAGAGGAGGTTCATGGGAGGATGACCCCTGATGCCCACTATGTCCAGTAAGGTAGGCGTATGGTGGGTAGGGTCTCGGGGCTTGGGGCCCTATGAGAAGCCCCCCCCCCCCCAGGAGGTGCAGGAGGGAGGCTGGGATTTGTAGAGGTGCCAGCTTGGGTTAGAGCCTTTGGGGCAGTGGGGAGTCCCCGGGATCGATCGGTCCATGTAGGTGAGATAGCGAGGAAGCGACTGTCTGTTTCCTGTGGGAAACACTGGTCTGTCCAATGGCAGGAGGGACAGGGATCCCAGCGGGTCACAGCACATGCAACCACTTGCACAAGACAGCATGTGGGCACGGAACAGCGGGGTGTGGCAAGCCCAAGTGGGTGTGCCTGGGCCTGCCCCTGGGGGGTGGGGACGGGGATGCATGTACCCCCACCCCACCCCGCCATGTGCCTGCGGTGTGGGCTCCAGCGCTCACCCCCCCAGCGCCTCTTTGGAGTTGATGCTGAATTCACTGTTGACATTCCCGGTCCTCAGCTCCACGACACGGTGGGGGAAGGGGGCAGGGGGCGGCGGGCAGTCGTCTGTGGAGCAAAGCAGGGCCCTGGCAGTCAGGGCCTGGTGTGGGGGGGCAGGGGGCTCACCTCCATGCCCCTCTCCTTCCTGCACAGCCGCCCCCCCTGCCGGGCCCCCCAGCCTGCCTGGCTCAGCCCATGCAGAGAGGGACATTCTTCCACAGACTGCAGACCCAGGGTAGGGGATGGGGCCCACTTCCCAGTGTCAGCTGGGGGTGGTCTCTGCCTCTCCCCTCAGATCAGTAGGGACGCCTTCACAGTCAGGTCCGAGGACCCCCAATCCAAGCTATCTGGAGTCCCGTTGAAGATCTTTCTAAATGCCTGGCTGCCAGCGGGGCTACCACATCTGAACGATGGTGGATGGTGATGTGGTGGGACCTGCTTAACCTCCTTGCCAACAGCAGCGCAGCGCCCCGGCCAGGCGTGGGGAAGGCTGCAACCTGGCTGGAGCCTGGCCAGCCAGGTTTGGTAGGGGGACGCCGCCACCTGGTGACGGTGTCGGGGAATGGCGGGGCCTGGCCGCCAGTCGGCTGAGTCATCGGGAAAAGCAAACCTCTTTATAAATAGCCCAGGCGGCAGGGAAGCCGGCTGGTGATAAATCAGGCCCCATCACCCCAGGATGTGATTCCTGGGCGGGGTGCGGTGGAGGTCTCCACCACCGCCGAGCGAAGAGGCAGGGCTCCTGGCTGCCACCCAGCCGCCAGGTCCTCCTCGCACCCTGTTTGCATGGCACTGTGCCACTCACCAGGCAGACTGGCGAGCCTCCCGGGGCACCTCAGCTGGGAGGAGAGGGGGTGTCAGGACATTCTGGGCTCTCCTGACCCCATGTCACCCCATCTCCAGCTTTGCTCCAGCCTGCCCAGCCCTGCCCCGGTTCACCTGCCTGACAAGCAGGTGCGCGTGCAAAGGGGCGGGCTCCCTGCTGCCCACTCAGTAAACCTTGTCTGGTCATCAGTGGGGGCCACTTCACAGCCCTGCCCCCACCCCCACATGCCCAGCTTCCTTGGCCATAGCCTCCCCACATGTGGTGCTTTCTCTGCTCAGGAGCCCTCTGTGGCTCCCATGTCCTCCAGAATGGCATGTAACTCCCGAACCTGCCAGGGGAGGCACTCCCCACCCCAACTCCCAACCCCACCGAGTGCCTCTGTGGCCAGGCTCCCCAAATAATCTGCTTGGTCACTTTATCCTGATGGCCAGGGTCAGAGCCCGGGGACACAAGGGCTAAGCACGGGCTGCTACCCAGTAAGGCCAGGGGTTCTGAACCCACCCACCACTCCAGGAGATGGAGAGGTAGCCCTTCCTTGGCTTCCATGAAGATGTACAGTCTTGGAAACCCCTATATAAGGGTCACTTCTACTTCATCCTATAGGGTCCCTGTGAGTCTGCATTGATTTGGGGACAGCAGGCGGGGTTTGGCTTTGGTGACCACAGTAGGAGGAAATCCATAGTGGGCTCCAGAGTTGAGCTGTTCTGGGTTCAAATGTTGCCTCTTTAGATGTATGTGTGTGTGTGTGGGGGGGGGGTTGGCTCATTTCCCCTTCTCTGAGCTGTCATTTCCCCTTTCTATCAAAAGGGGAAAGGAAGCCTCCCTGCCTGGGATTGTGTGGCACTTGGGTGGACTGGCCCGGCTGAGGCATAGTGCCCCCTCTCCCCCAGAGCAGCCCCAGCCCCCACCCCAGCCCATGGCCTACCCAAAATCTGGAAGCAGTCCTCCTCCTTGGCCATGAGAGCCAGGCCTGGCCCCCCCTCCGATTGCTCCATCTCCTTCGAGGTATCTCCTTGCACCTCTGCCTGGCCAGCTGGGCCTGGGCCTGTCTCTCCGGCCTCCTTTGGGCTCCCTTTCAGGGCCTTCTCTTCTTCGGCCACCTGTGCCGACCCCGCCGGGCTGGGGGTCATGGGCACCCCTTCAAAGGTGATGTCTGATGCCCCACTCGGGGGCTTCTCGGCCAGCAGCTTGTCTGAGCTGGAGGGGTGGGGGGCAAGCACAGAGGTGGACTCCTCATCGGCTCTGGGCAGGTCTTGGCGCTTCCAGGCTCTCAACTAATCCTGCCCACCCCCAGCGCCCTCAAATTCACTCTGTACAAAATCAGGGAGATTGAACCATCCCAGTGAATGGCATGCCCGCCGTCTGGCTTCGCCACACCCTAATAGATCATTGATAATCACCCTTGTCAATGGGATTCATTGTCATATAGCCACAATCGGGTGGTGTTGGGGGTGGTTATGCACCTCCAGCCTCACATACATACTGTGATGGTGACGTGATTGCGCTGAGGGCAGCCTGATCAGATTGCTAAGCATTATGGCGTGTGTGGTGATATGTCGATAATGACCTTACTAATGGGGAGAGCATTAAGGCAGGTGTCACTGACCTGTGCTAAGTGAGGGTTATGGGCCAGATTAGTAAGGACCCACTAAGGCACTTCTCAATCGTCTTTGCATGATTGAGCGTATGGACAATGATATAAAGAGTAGGGGGTCATCTTTGCCTCTAGACTCCTAGCCCTGCCTGTCTTTGGCTCCTGGAGTAAAGGTGGGCTCCGGGCTCCAGGTGCCTGGAGAAGAGTGCTCAGATTTGGGCCAGAAGGGCCCCCTCCTGTCTTGCCTTCTGGGTTTTCCTTTCACTATGGGGAATCTTGGTTTCTCCAAGGGACAATGATAGGGTCAATGCCAGGATAGGGGATCCTGAATGTCAGAAGAAACCCTTTCAAGGCTTGGGACAGGGGAGCTGAGCACGACCAATGGGGAGAGACCCCCGGGCCCCTCCCACTCCCAGGCGAGTGCAGGCACCTGAGGATGATAGCCGGACAGCTGGGGCTGTGCAGGAAGGCGGGCGAGCCTCTCCTGGCTGCGGCCAGGCCCTCTGCTGCCTTCTGGGCCACCTTGGCCTCTCCAGGGCCCTGGTTGCCTGGGATCCCCTGCTCAGCCGCAGGCTCCTTGGCACTGACCTCGGTGGTTGCTGTTGGCTGGGACAGGGCCGCCGGCTGGCCGGCACTGCCCTCCACAGGCCCCTCGCCCTGGCCCCCCTCTCCCTTAGGGCCCTGGCTGCTGGCAGAGGACTGGGCCTGGGCACCATCCCCCTTCTCTGAGGCATCTTCCTCCAGGCTGGGTGGATCAGGGTCTTTCTTTAGGTCTGGGGGGCCAGGGTCTTTCTTTGGGTCTGGGGGGCCAGGG